CTTGGTGCTCACAGCAGGACTCAGAAACACACACAGCAGACTTTTAATTAAAAGACTGGGTTCTAGATTCGGCTCTGCTAGCAATTTATCTTGCTACCTTTTATTCCTGGTCCTTTAATTTATCATCACTGGAGTAAGAGGTTGATTAGTATCTTTCAAAATTGTTTTAAGTTTCACAATGAAAGTTTACACAGAAACCTAATGAATGCAAAATGGGTAAGAGAGACCCACTTCTTTTGACCTGGAAAGCACTGCAAACGCTAGAACCTTGGTAGTATTTCTCTTGCCCACAAAGCAGGCACCAGGGGGCTTCCAAGGAGCTAAGAAATGCTCAGGCTTCACCAAATACGATTTGAGTAGCACTGTCCTACATGATTTTGTCTGAGATTACTTTCTAAAATCTGCGGTTCTAAATATTTTAAAATCTTCATTTGACAGAGTCTATTCCTTCTCAAATCTATGTGCTCCTAAGCTTATTCAGCATCCCACTATGTTCTGCAGAGGGGATGCCTTGTTACCTGGAAAGCATGACAGAAGGAGTGAAGGGGCAGGGGGTGGATCAGAGATAGTGACAGAGGGGAGAAGAAAAGAGAAAGATACTACTTGTCCACCACTGACCTGCAGATCCTGGGGGCCTCATACCCTGATGCCGGAGCCTCTGACTGATTTCTCCCGGGCATCTGAACTGTGTTTATACCGTCTGGTCAGAGTAGGTCACGCCTGCAGCAATCTCTATAATTGGCTCCAGGACAGGGAGGAAGAAGAGCCTAGAGATTTCATAATGACTTAGGCACAGTATGGATAATAAGAAGGTGAGACACTAATGAGTGTTTGGTGAAGGGGGACAGAGTCACCTATAAAGCCTGGGCAGGGAATAGGAACCAGCCCCCCATTCTGTAGCTACTGTCATTGACTATGTTATTAGTGGTTTCACAGCCAGATAAACAGTGCTGCGGCAGACCTCTCTGCTGCCCCATGGGGCTCCATCCTAGACTTGAAGAGGCAGCAAATGCAAAAGAGAGTATGTCTGGTGGCCCCGAGGACAGAACAATCTCTGATGGCTGAAGCCAGACTATGGCCAGCAAGCCACAGTGAGAGCAGGGCCTGACAGGATGGCCCTATTTGGAAAGATGAAAAGAGAGTCTATGCCTTTCAACAGGTCTAATGAGTTGGTACCAGGCTAATAAAACAGAATATCTAGGAGAACCCAGCTGCAAAAGACAATGATCTTAGATTCATCCTGGAATTGGATGAATATCACGTATCCTTAACCACTAAGCAAATATAATAGTGTGAACAGTGCAGGGGTAGAGAACACTCAGATTTCTAATTGATACTACTTAACTCAGTCCATCCATCCTCCATCCACTCACCCATCTGTCCATCAATCCATTTGTCCATAATTCCATCCCTCCATCCATTCACCACTTATTTCAAAAGGCAGAGAACTTGGGTGTAATGTTGTCTGGGGACCAACGGCCTTATTGTAATTCTCCCCCTCAGGTCATTTGTGAAGTTTCCCAAAGGACTTGCTGAGGAAGCAGGAGGGACCAGCCTAGGACCCAAATGCCTACAGAATGAAAAATGAGAAAGGAGGGGCAGAAAGGGGATCAGATTTCTGCTTTGGAAAGGCGGTGATCATTCCTCACCCCTCCGGCAGTCTCTCGCTCCCCCATGGGAAGAGCCAAAGCGTGGGTCATTATATCAGGCGATCAATGAGTGTTTACAAAGTGTCCTCACTGCTGTGTGTCAAAGACATTGAATACCCAGTCCCTGTTGTTAAATCACTTTACAGTCTAGCTAGAAAGGGAAGTCACACACACTTGAAAACATAATTAAGAAGCCCAGACTCTCTAAGCCCTGGGCCAAAGGCATGTTAGAGACAATTGCACTAGAGAAACTCCTTGGGCAAAAAGGTCCTTAGAATTAAAAGGACTTTATATGTCACATCACAGTCTCCCTTCAAATGGAGAAATCCATGCTAAGGCAGCCCTGAGAAATAGATTGATTCGTCTCTGCCTCCGCACCTCTTAAAGAAGCACTACCAGTGTTTGTTGTCCTTGTGGTTAAAATTTAGGAGTCCTATAGGAAAAACAGCCTCCACACAATTTCTACCCATTGGTCCTGCATGTGCTTTCCAAAATTACACAGCACAAGTATATTCCTCCATTTGCAGGCTTTCAGGTGCTTGAGGGGGGTGCTCTGCATATTTCTCCTTCAGGATGAAGACCCTCAGCACCTCAGCCTCTTCCTTATGATCTGGTCTTTGGACATTATCTGTTCCTCATTGTCCGCAGCTGGTACAAACCTCACAAGGTATGGGCATTCCACCTCTGCAGATGTAGGCCCAGGCCTCTGGTTTATATCAAAGTTGCAGATGTCAAAAACCACTAGGTTTTGTGAACAGTGGTGATGCCAGGGTCCATCCCCTATGTTTCTTTTAGTATTATTATTATTATTTTTACTCATCAAGTTCACTGATTGTTCACCTCTATGTTTCTAAAGGTAACCTTTTCTATTCCTCCCTTTGCTATTGACTTGTAAATGTCTGCTTATCCTGGCTAAAGCCCTTTTGAATCCTATCATTCTACAAATGTGAAAACAATCACTTCAGGTCTGAGAAACCTTCAAGGATGAGGTGAAATTTATGCTGCTCCCTGACCAGGACGGCGCGGGTGGGGCTGTTTAGATGAGTGGAGGAGAGGAAGAGAATATTCCAGGGTGGAGGAACAGTTTCCACATTCTATACTCACAGGGTTGCAATTATGTGTCAAGCATTATACTAGATGCTCAGAAACAAACTGATGCAGCCCTAACCACAAGGTCATGCCAGTGACCACAGACTCCAAGTCAAATGACTACAACGTGGGGAGGAGTACCCAAAGCCTTCCCACAGCAGATGACTAGAGAGCTCATTCACCAATGGCTTCTCAGAGGAGGTGGCATCTAAGAGGATGAAGGATCTCTCTAGGCAAAGAGTATGGGCGGAGAGTACAAAATTAGAGGGAGCAACATAGGGCTGTGCTTAGGCCCATAAACAGAGACAGAGAATGTGAACAGGGTCTGAAACACAGCTGGCACTCGGAGCCCATGTTCTTGGCAGCCCTGAGAGGCCTAGGGGAGGAACTGTGCTGCCCAGGACTTCAGCTGCATCTGGGCTCCTGTGCTGAGGCCCATGGAGGCAGCCCCGTCTGTCCTGGCCACCTCCTTGCCCTCAGCAGACTCTGAACCTGCCAGGCCAGTCTAACAGGTGAGGTACAGGTAGAATACCTGAGGCTCAGGTAAGGGCCCCTCCTCTGGCTTCTGCTCTCACCCTCCAGGGTTTAGGTGGGGACATTAGAGTCTGTCCCTGGCACCTCAAGGCACAAAAGCAGACAAAGAAGATTTAAACCTTGCGAAACTGAACATTCAACCAATTTGGTATGATCAGCTTTTCTTTTCTTTCTTCCTTTTTTGCCAAAGTTCACAGAGCTAGTAAGTATCATCAGCCTTTAAATAGAACATTTGGGTAAATAAAAGAGTTGCTCATTTGGAGAAGAAAAATGAAAATATTGGTGACAATTGCAATCATAATTCATATGTAAACCAAATCAATTTATTTCTCTTTGCATATTAATTATCTACTGCTACAGAACAAGTTAGCTCCAAACTGAGCAACTTAAAACACCGGAGTCATTATCTCCCTGAATCTCTGAGGGGCAGGGATCCAGAGCAGCTCAGCTGGGCAACTCTGCTTCAGTCGCCCATGAGGCAATAGTTGAGCTGGCAGCCAGGCTGCAGACAGCAGAATGCTGGAGGGGCCAGAGGAGCTGCTTCTAAATTCATTCTTGCAGCTGTGGGAAGTATAGGCGAAAGGCCTATATACCTCTGGCCAAAAAAAAGCTGTTTGAGAGAGAGCAGTGAAAAGACTTTGCGCAGGCATACTTGTGAGACTGAAGGCAGAATCCCATATGGCCAGATTGGTTGCGGGTCTAAAAACCCCCTGACCTAAGGTCGGCCTGGTCGGTTGCAGGCATAAACATCCCCTGACTTAAGGCCCACATGGGAAGGGAGACTTGCAAACAAGTTCCCTGTATGTCTTAGAAATTTCTTTACTATGCCTTGTTTAAAGATTGAAGTAACTGCCTCCAAAACGGTAAGGCCAGTAGGGAGGATATTCTATCTCTCCTTTTCCCCCAGAATCTCAGGCTTCATCAGATAAGAACAAAGAAGTAATGGCTGACAACATGTTCTCCATTAAATTATGTTAAAAGAATTATGATAGAAGGTTTATGTTGACAGGTTTATGTTAAAAGGATTATGAGGATTATCAGATTACCAGGGAGGAGCTGCTCACAAGACAAGTCACAAGATGTTTATTCATGAGATGGATTATGGATTGTAATGAATATTAATGGAGTCATTGATGTACAGTGCGCATGTTCACTGTGGACTATTTAAACCAAGAGTAAAGAAATCAACTTGCCACTCGCCATGAGAGAGCAGTGGTCCCTGGCTAAGAGGAAATAAAGTTGTCACATGACTGAGAGAGCTGTGAACCCTTTTATTTAAATATACAATTTCAATATGCATGTTTATTCTCTGAGACGTGGCTTCTCCGTGAGCCCCTAACGGTAACAGGGAAGGGGCCTTCATTATTCACCACATTGGGTTTCTCTATGGGAGTGCTCGTAGCATGGCAGTTGACTTCACCCAGAGCAAGTGAACCAAGAAACTGAGAGAGGGGGAGAGAGAGAAAGAGAGAACATGAGTGCACAAACAGCCACAGTGTCTTTTATAACCTAGTCTTGGAAGCTGCACACCATCATTTCCACCAAGTTCTGTTGGCCACAGAGACAACTCCAGCGCAATAGGGAAGGGGCACAGGAGGCAGGGATTGTTAGTGGCTGTATGAACTTCCTACAGCTGTTGTGACCAATTGTCTCACACTTAAAACAACAGGCATTTATTCTCCCTCAGTTTAGGAGGCTGGAAATTTGAAACTGAGGTGTCAATAGGGCCACCACAATCCTTGTGAAAGCTTTAGGGAAGAATCCGTCCTTCCTTTTCCTAGCTTCCAATGTTGCCACAATCTTTGGTGTTCCTTGGTTTGGGGCAACATAACTCCCATCTCTGCCTTCATGGTTACTTGGGCTTTTTCCCCTCTGTCTCCTTTGTGTCTCTGTGTCCTCTCCTCCTATTGGACTTACATCCACCCTAATCCAGCCTGATCTCATTTTAACTGATTGTATCTGCAAAGATGCTGTCTCCAAATAAGGTCAAGTTTGAGGTTTCAGGAAGCATGTACATTTAGGAGGACACTACTCTAATAGTACAGCAGCCCTCTTGGAGGGCTTTCCATTCCAGGAAATAATTACAGGATGATCTTTTTTCCTGTAAATTCTTTACCCAGGAGATTCCAGCCACACAAGCTCATCACATCCTTCTTCTTAGTGGCTTTGCTGAGGACTGTTTCCTGATCCCTGCTGCTACCAACTAGAGCAGCAGAGCACAACTCAATTGGCATATTTCACTCTGGGGAAGTGGAGTCAGAGGACAGGTAAAAACCATGTCTGCTCTGCTTACCCCGAGGTTAATTTCTTATTGTTATACAAGGAATCCATCCTCATTGTATAAAGACTAGGAAATTCCGATAAATAAAAAGAACAAAGCATCTTCTTTGGAATGCCACACCATTCCCTTGCTCCTTTTCTTCCCCATCCCATCTTCCCTTGTCTCACTCCCTACTCTCTTCTCTCTTTCTCATCTCTCCCCTCCAGTCTCTTCCCTCTTCCTAAAATAAAATAAAATTATACTTTTATAACCTAAAAAAAAAAAAGAACAATGTGAAAACTTCACCTAAACTGCCACCACCTAGACATTGCTACAATTGAGGTTAACTCTTCTAAACTTTTTTATGCAGAAAAATAAATTAAAATAAAATTACAAGATATGCTACTTTATAATTCCTTTTCATACTTAATATGTCATTTGCAACTACTTATGTGAATAGGGACCACCCCCATCTGGGGTTTTTATTGCACCTTGGGTTTCAAAAAGGGAAGTCATGTCCTGCCCATCTTCTATCTTGTGAGCTAGAGCCATTTCCTCTGACACCACCACCCTCTCATGCCCACAGGGAAAGGAGGAAGGTGGAGATGGAAAAGCCAGCATAGAATGATGGTGGCAGCAAGACTAATAGGAAGAAGGGGGGAGCTGGGCTGTGGACCATGGGTCCCTTACTCTGTGACTACCTCCCTCTCCTGCACAGCAGTGAACGACAGAACCTCATGTGGGGGCTGTTGGTCCTCAACAGCTCAAGTGGGGCTGGGCTGACCAGTGGGGTCCAGGAACACTGGGTCGGTTACCACTGGGCATGAATAATTCCCACTACTGCCCCACCCATCCCCTTGAAATCTTTTTGTGTTTCTCCAGTTTATCCCATGTAGTTTTTGTAAGTTTCCACACCAATATCACTTCCCAATGGTGGAGGAAACTGTATGCTGAACCCTAAATCTCAGAATTTATCCAAACTAGGAACCAGGAGAAGAGAGAGTAGCCATGTGCCCAATAAGTCAGAGGTGGAGATTTGAGAGCAGAGGGGTGGTTGTCCAAGAGTCTCCTCCTCCACTAAACCCTTGCCCAAGCTGGCCCCACCTAGGGAATCCTGGGGGCTGCCCTAGTCACACTGCTGGAAGTAGAAGTCCACGATGAATGTATCCCCGTTGGGGTTCTCAGGAAGCTGGATGAGGCTGACAGGCTGGTCAGCCTCGGGCACAGTGCACAGGAACCAGCCTGGGTAAGCAGCCGACTCGAAGCTGGAGGTGAACCCCCTGTCCCGCCGGTAGAAGGTGAAGCTCTTGGATTCCTTGGCTCCGAGGTAGAGCTCCATGATGTTCACTGGCTGCCAGCAAAGGGACAGGGCAGGTGAGGGGCTGGAAGGGGCAGTGGAAGGACTGGGTGGGGCCAGGGCAGGGAGGAGGTAAAGCCCACCAAGAGAATCCTGCCAGGCAGCCCAAAGAGGTGCAGGGTGCCCAGCCCCAGTGCATTCTTTGTCTGTTGGCTTAGCCACCACTTGACAAGGATGCCCCAACTGGACTCACCTCCAAGGTCAAAGTTGGTTCCTGCCCTGTCCCACATGACAGGCACTGGCTCCCTCCCTGGACACCCAGGATGACTGGGGATAGACTGGCATCCAGCCATCGATTGGGGACAACGTTGATCTCCTCACCTACAAGGAGGAGGCTAGATGCAGAGACTTTGGCCACCCCTCATTCCTTATCCCCTGTCCTGAACCCTAAGGTGCAGGACCAGTGGGAGCCATCCTATCTCTAGCTGGGCAGAAGGAAAGCCTCTTGGTGACTGTCATAAAGGGAAAGAAGGGTGGTCTCTGCCAGCTGGCCCAGTAGACATCAAGTCACAGTAGCACATTGTTCCACCTCCCATCCCAACCCCTGGTTCGGGTCAAATCTTCAAGGCTTCTCTAAACCCCAAGATCAATTCAACCCCCTCCTCTAACGTCCCCTGACTTCAGGCCTCTTTTCTGAAACTCATCTTGATAAGCCTCCTGTTAGAGTTGTTCTCAGGTCCTTCTACCCTGTGAGATTCCCAACAGAGGAAGAGTGCCTGACTCCCCTCTAGATCTCTCCCCCACAGGGATTCACACATGCACACAGAAATACACACAGAGATACACACATGTACACACAAACTACATGTGCATATACACACATGTATACACATGTGTACATGCTCACATAGGCATACTTATACACATAGATACACATATGTGCATGAATATGCTTACACACATGCCTACACAAATATCCATATATATACACACACTCATACATACATACCTGCACACACACACAAACACACACTTACATACATACACTGGTGCACACTCATGCATGTACTCACTCACACATGCCTGTGTGTACACACACATGAACACCTGGCCTAGCAGGGGGATCTGTTGGCCTCCATCTCTGTGAGGGTCCTCTGGGTGGGCAAGTGAGCACTGTTTTAGAGCAAAGAGCCCTTCACAGAGTTAGGAGCAGAGTAAATAAGAGATCTAATGGTGCCACCTGTTCTCTGCCACTCTGAGTAACTGGGGACCCACAGTAGAGGGACAGAAACCTACTCCCATCTGAGAATAGAAGCATAGAGAGCCTGCTGTAGTTCTCTCCTCAGCACCAGCTCCCAGGAAAATGGAATGTTTGACCTATATATACACCTATGAGGAAATGACAAGATGTTCTCTTGGAAAATAATCCCACCTCTGCACAGATGCTTCAGGTAGCACTAGGTTTTATCTTGACTTTGCTGAGAGTTGTAGTATTTTATTTGCCCTTAGGAGTCTAAGTAACAGTGCCCCCATCTAACACCTCAGGGACTGGGATCTATAAATCCATGCTAACCAGCAGGACTGTTGCAAACTCCCTTCAGGCACCCTCCCCTCAGAGTATATAGAGACCCAGGAAAGTTGGGTCCCATTTTGCCACCAACCTTTAATAACCTTCCCTGCATGCAGCCCTCCGGCTAGAAGTTGGTTATTGTTCAGATAAAGCACCTTCAATGCAGAATCCTTCATTCTGAAATATTAGGATGGGGTGAGACTCCATTAAGGGAAAGTGGGCACTCCAAAGTGGCCTGGCTCCAGAGAGGTCCCTAATTTCAGGCACGTTGCTTCCCTCTCTTTCCACTGTGTCATCTGTCCCAGCCCTGCTGACCTCCCATCGGAATCTGAGATTTACTCCTTTACCTATCTAACCTCTTCTACCCCAACCAGTCTCCTCTGTGTGCTGTGGGAAGAGAATCTGGACTAAGAGTCAGAGCCCTGGGTTGCCATCCCAGCTCTGCCTCTGCTGCTGCCAAGTCACAGGAGACAATTCCCCTCACCCTCTCTTGCCTGAGCTCCCCATTGCTGAACTCAGATGATGGGAGACATAACCCTAGGCTCTTCCAGATTAAAATCTGATGCTTCAACTATCACCGAAGACCTCAGGGTACCGTACTTTCAAGTGACCATATACTCTCTGCTAAGTGAAGAATTTCTGCAAATTTAAAATTCTTTCATTTTACCTCTCAAAGTTATTTCTCATCTATAGTCTTGGTTGATTTTTTGACATCTTGTGAGATGAAAGATGTATCCTAAGTGGCTTTCTCTAGAAGTCATATGGGAGAAAAGCATGCAGTATAAAAATTAGTTTAATGTGTGGCCAAACATGATTAGACCAACTGCATTTCTTCAGAAAATCTTAGAGGCACCAATAAGCTGAGTTGTGCTGTGGTTCTGTTATAAGGGGATGTGGAAAGCAGCATTCCCCACATTTAGTCAGAAAACTCTACAGCTAAACCATCTCCTGGGTTGGGAGCCCCATGGAATACATTAGGAAGTGCTATTCTAACTCAGAGAAAGGGCTGCTCTCATCCACCAACGTGAGGTCCAGGGCAATACAGAGTGTCTTCTTAGTAATGCCAGAGGATAAACAAACTGGCCAAATAGTGGGTTTTGTTTAATTTTTCTCCCAGTGAGCACTGAGAAGGTATGGACACACAGTGGGTGAGCTGACATCCACTGTGCTGGGTGGCAACATCAGAGCTCTGAGCAGGTCCTTTAACCCCTGTCCTCACTGTGGACAGACCAGGCTGCAGCTCTCAACTGGGTGTTTCATCATCCCCCTTAGTGTCAGACAACCCTCCTGAGGTGGCCTTCCCCAGTCCTGCTCAATCTAAGAAGGCTGGAAGAACCTCTCTAAGGCAGTGAGGAACTGGTCACAACTTCCAGCTGCAATCAGAGCCCCTCTCCCCTTCCTCCCTCCTTTCCACAAAAAGCTGGACAACAGGTCTACCCCATGGGTCTCTCTCTCTCTCTCTCTCTCTCTCTCTCCCTCTCTCTCTCTCTCTCTGCCAAATCAGAGCCTCATATACTCACCGGAAGCACAGTGCCCCACTCAGAACCATCTTGAGCACCACAGTGTGTAGAAGCCCCTAGTTTAAAACAAATAACAGAAAATCTAAGGTAGGGACAGAGGCTGAGCCTCCTAGCATGTGAAGAGCCTCCACAGAGTGGAGGATTCTGGGAGGGGGTCAGGAGAGAGCTCCTGTCCTGCCAGCATCCCCAAGGATACCTGGGAATGCTCCTTTCTCCTGGCGGGAGCCTGCGGAGTCTGCCTGCTCTTCCAAGGATGCCTCAGCCCTTTAAGCAAGGGAGGCACCCTGAAACTACTGCAGCCTGGGGAGGAGCAGGGTTTCCCCAGTGATTTCACACCACCCCAAGCCTTCAGGAACACCTGCTGCTCATTACCTCTCTGGGGGAGGGAAACTTCTGGAGACAGCTCCTTCCCACAGTTCTGAAGACCTTCCTGTGGAGCTTTCTGGACATCTCTGAGCACTCAGCTTCTGCACCTCAGAGGCATCCAAATGTGAATGAGCCGGTGCAGACGGCAACTCAAGGAAAGCAGATTTTAGAACAACTTCCTTTCCTTCCTTCCTTTTCATCCACTTTCATTCCTTTTCTTCCTCCTCCCTCCCCCGTCTCTTCTTTCCATCCCTCTGTCCCTCCTTCCTTCCAGGCTTTGCCAGGCCTACGGAAGATGCTGCAGGTGGGACACTCCTGCTTAGGGAATGTTTAGACTACACGTTCACAGTGGAAAGACCTGAAAATCCAGATCAGCAAGAAGAAAAACGTGACAACTTGTCTTCTGCGCATGCATCGCCAGACAGCCAATGACAGCACTTCTCCCACCACAGGCATGTAATAGACAGAGGGTGCCAAAAAAAAGGGATACACATTTGAAGGGTGGCAGAAACTATTAAATTTGTAATATTCACATCACATTTGACTTCGATTATGAGAGGTGTGACTTGTATTCATCTTTTGTTATTGGTGTATATCAAGTATTACAATTTTAATACAGTTTTTTCCTTCTTAAAATGTATATACATTTTTGGCACCCCCCTGTACATGTTACTGTAGACAGTTTTTCATACAGTTGCGTTATAGAACCTACACTCTTTCCAACATGGTTTTTTTTAATGTAGCAAAATAGCAAACTGTCTTTCTGTACCACATATGGATCCAATGTGTTATCCAATGACACCATAATTTTGAATAGCTGTGTAATATTCCATTGTACAGCAACAGCATCATTTCCACCAATCTATTATTAGTGGTCCTTTTTATTGTTTTCTTATTTTTTGTTCTTTCATTTTTTGCTATTGAAAACCATATTGCAATAAACATCTTCATATCAACATCTCTGCTCATGTGTGTGATTATTTCTTTAGGAAATAAAACCTAGTTCATTCTGTCTGTTATTCCATAACTGACCTTTCTTAAATACCTAACTGGTAAAAATGATAAGTGATGGTAAAACCATTAATGCAATTTCAATACCTCCATGCAGTCTCTGTGATGGATTTGAGTTAAGGAAAGGGCCACACATGACAATTCTAATTATGTCTTGAGTATCATTGATAAAGTATTTATTGTTAAAGTATAAATTCAAAGAAAGAATAATCAGGCATATGGGCCTAAAAGCCTTTCAAGTGTTCAGGAATAAAAGAGATATCAAATTATTCAAAACAAGAAAAATAACCCAAGATTTATCTAATGCTACTAATATGATAAATGCCTTTCACAAAATAAATTTAATCTAGAAGCTGCCTTAAACAAAATATTAAAGTGACTATAAATTAACCAAATAACAGTCGCAAAAAAACAAAGCAAAACTCCAGAAAGAGTTGGTCTGTAGACAAAGTACTTTTAAGCAAATAGGCTTACATTTGCAAAGTGGTTATAGGAAAAGTAGATATTGTTTCACCTAAAAAATCTAAATGCCACCTACCCGGGCTGCCCTACTTGATTCCCTGACCCCAATGAATTGTAGCTGTGGGTCCACAGGACACACCTGTGGGGCTAATGAAGTTCTTTCCACAGTCTGCCTAAAATGGAACGATGCCTGTATGTGGCTGGCCCCCAGAGACGCAGTGAATTTGCTGAAGGTACAGGGAGATGGCTCCTCACAGAATGAATGAATGGCAGGCTCTATGAATGAATAAGCAGGTGAAAGTGAGAAAATAACACCAACTTTTGTTGAGAAAAATTCTCTGGACTTCAAATAAACAAAACTATAACCATGAGGGTTTTCCTTATGAAACAGGCCCCACCAACAGTAAGTTCCTTAGGGAGCAGAGCCCTTTGTTTGCTTACCAATTAGGCCCCAGACCCTGTGAAGTTAGATGTGAACTAAGAGAAGATTGATAAACTGCAAATTCTTCCAGTCTGATGGAAAAGATAACTCCAAAGGGC